GCTATGGGGGCCCGGGGGGAGGCGGAGGGGCTCCCCGGGGCGAGGAGGAGGGGGTCTCGGCGCCCGCCCCCCCGCCTCCCCTCCCGCCCTGCGGGAACCACCTGCGGGCCGGCGGGACCCGGCGGCGGTGCCCTCAAACAGAGCTGCGGGCTGGGGGAAGGCAACCCGCTCCGGCCACGGCTCCCGCCTCGGTAAGCGCGCCCCGCAGGCGGTTTTCTTAGAGAGAGGACTCCGCACCGAGATGGCTCTTTAATGGGCTTTTCACACGCGGGGTGCCCTCCGGAGCAGACCCGATGGAGTTAGCGTCCGCTGGGATTTGTCAGACACCCTCGGCTGATACCCTCTGGTCTGATTTATTGTGTTAGAAGGTTTCAAGGTCACATTGAGATTCTGGTGGAACTAAATTAAACCCATGACTCATGACATTATATGCTTGGTCAAACATTCTTTTTCTGTCTTCTTGTAGCCCCTGTAACTAATAAGAAGAGATCAGTGAACCCTTGACAAATGATCTGAGAAAAAGGGTGAGGTATGAAAAGACATCATGTGGAGAAACAAATTACAACCTATTTCCCCTAGTTTGGGAGCAGGGTGTTCGGGGAGCACCGCTGGGAGGTCATACACCTCCCAGGCTTGGTAGGTATTTTCAGAAGGCTGAAAATTGAGCAGAACTTTCCTTTTTTCCATTGTCACTCAGCTGAAAATACAGTGCATGGTGAAACCTTATATTAGCATGAGGAAAGAGTAGTTGACTTACTACGGATTTTGTAGTGTGACTTCATGAGTAACTGGGGCTGTGTGTTAGTAAAATGCGACTTTATAACTCTTAATATTAAAAAAGGAAAAGAGAAAGAAACTGAATTCTGGAGCTAAGCGTTTTGAAAACACTGCTCCGTGCCTACTTCTGTGTCACTCTTCCACTCTTTGCCTTGCTATGCACAGGCCGTAATCCATGTTCCTAAGGAAAAATCGTCACTTAAAGCTCTTAGTCCTGAATGTGGTGGCTACTGCCACAGGGTGATAGTTTTGGAGGAGCCCCTGTGTGAAATAGGGATGGGCAAATGGAAGATTAAATGGTAACTCTAAATCAGAAATACGATAGTAATTCACACCTGAAGGCAGTGAATCTGAGCTGTGCAAGCTCTGGTCCTGCAGAGGTATAGCCATGCTCATGGAGAGAAGAGTTAAG